TCTCTTACTTTGATTATTGCATGTTTATTATTAACTGTCATAATTGATGCTCTGCATTCCTATCTTTGGTCCTGTTTTCTCTTGTGTTGCAAATGTAAGAATATTTGGTGGGTGAAAACTACAAATGTATTTATTTTCAGTTTGATAGAAATATCCAGGGGGTAGTTTTATCATCTAATTTTCCTTAACTGAAACCCATTCCCAAGGTTTATGAGATAATTTGTTTTTAGTTTGTGGTAGCTATGGGATTAAATTGTGCAGTTTCAAGGCTCTGTTGTGATTAAGGCAAATTACAATGTTTGTGCAGAGGGGGTAGAGATTTTCACACATAATGAAGCAGCTAATCAAAGAGATTTCTCCAGTAATACCGATGTTCACTTTTAAAACAGTGTACATTCAGACAGTAAAATTACTGTTTTAACACACCTTTAAATCCCCTCCTTGAGCTTGTTAAAACTATTGAAAGTGCCTTTTGAAGCACTTTGCTGGCTGCACATGATAACATAGCTTAACTTTGTTTCCACTGAGAAAATGTCAGTTTGTATTTTGTATTTATTGCATTGCTGTGTAATTCTCAACTCCTGGGGTTGCATTATAACAATTTTTATAAAATGTCTTTTTTGCAAGGAGTCAATGTGCTGGACGGTGTTTTGGGTATTAGACAAATGCTGGACACGGTACTTAGTTTAAATTCTTTGCATCCCTTTCATTAAGCTAAGCAAGACTGGACTGGTGACTTACAGTTTCTAGATGTGGTGTTGGTGGTCCAGTAGGTGGCACACTTCCATTCCTGTATGGAAATACTGTTTGATAGATGTGATTAAGGGTTGTATATACAGTGTATGCCTGTCAATGCAATATTAAATCCCATTCCTTAATTAGAAAAAATATTTAACACGATTTTTCAGATTTTTTCAGAACAAAATTCAGGCGAGCAATTGTGAATCATGTGTGAATGTACTGTAAACATGCACTGTTCAATTCAGAGGTGAAACACACTTGATTTTTCTGAAATAACCAAATTCTGTCACTTCAATGTTGAAGTACATTCAGTGATTGAGTTAACAGAGATGAAACGTGGACAAGCTATTTATAACACTCCATCTACCTCCTTGTGCAGGTTGCCAATCTGTTGCTCTTGCTTTTTTATCAAACGTGTATTTTTCTATATAATGGTTTGGTTTTGGTTTGGGTCTTTGAGCTAGTGTTCACAAGGTCACGTTTTATGACATGGTTTAGTTTTCAGTCCTTAAATCTGAGCATACTGAGTATGACTTATTACATAATCATGAAACTTTAAACAGTAATATATTAAAAATTGAAAAAAATAATTTGATGTTTTTTAGTCCTTTAAAAAGATAAACTTCATTTGTTGTTTTCTGCCCTGAAACTACTTTATTTTGATATCAGGATAAGGGTCTTTTCAGTCAACAATTCATGTTGTTAAATGATAGCTATAGTATGTTACATTACATCAATATTTTACACCTTTTCTTGTCACTGCTTAGTAAATTACATTTACTGTAATAGGCAAAATATGTTTCAATTCACAATTCATTGGATTTATATAACACTTTTTTTATCCAAAGGATCTCAAAGTTCTTTAGTTATAGTAATACAGTAGTAGGTTACCCCCTTCATATCCACCAGTAATGCTAACAGCTGTTATGCTCCCTGGCCTCACTCACATTTCAAAATATACTGATGGAAAAAAGAAATGCAACATTTTCTGGAATGAGAATACTATAGTTATAGCTTATGTACTTTCACAAGAAGTTGTCAATTTGTTTTAAGCCCTCTGACCAGCAGTACAGCTTGTGCAGTGAAGCATTGCAACTTGCCAATCACATGAAAGTTTGTTAGGAGCACTTTTACCCAACGAGGTCAAGGTGGAACAATGCCTGATCAGGTCACCTTTAAAAAGGTCTTAATTCAAAGCGTACGTCACTGGAAGAAAAAGACCACAGTTAGTCAGGTTTCTATGCATTCCAAATGCCTCAAATGTCACCAGGAGCAAGGAAGAGGGCCATTGGCATGCTGCAGTCAGGCATGTCATGTGCCAGCGTTGCCAGACACTATGGAGTAAGCCGTTTCACTGTGTCCTGACTGCAGAGAAAGTTTCAGCAGACTAGCAGGACAGATGACCTCCAAGATCCAGTTGCCCTCGAGTGACCACACTAGAGCACGACAAACACATCAGACTGGTCCATCTGAGAGATTGTTTCAGGTCTACTACCCATATCAGCTGCCAGCAGACACAATGCCCGCATCAGTGACAGGACACTGAGCCTCCATGCTGCTGGCCTTAGAGGAAGGTGACCTGTCAGAGACCCTCTGCTCACACCTCCTAGACGTCACACCCGACTGGCTTGGGCCAGACAAAGGCTGTGATGGACTCGTCAGCAGTGGCATCAGGTTCTCTTCACGGATGAGTCACTCTCCAGCCTTTTCCATGCAGATGGGAGGGCCAGAGTGTGGAAGAAGAGGTGTTGTGTTTCTTTTTTCCATCGGTATATATATAATATATAATATTATATAATATATAAAATAATATGTTTTTAGACAGGTCTGCTGCCCAGGAATGTTTAAAGCATTATTATATATTCAATTTCAAAGGAATTATATGAGTTATGTTTGGAAAAGACTTAAGTGTCAGTGAAATACTAAGGGATCATATTGTTGTTTTTGACATACAGTATTTGAGTTTGCCAGAGGTGTCTGAAGGTGAGAGTACAGTAAAATACTGTACTATAAATGTATTTTACGAGTATAAGGTACTCAGTAAAATAAAATCTTAGAGATGTTAATGAGACATTTATGAAAATCACAGCAATAAATGTACCTTTCAAATCACTGTTAGCATAGAGCATTAATGAAGCCCACAGCTTTTACTGAAGTGTCACTTTGTTAACAGCCTTATCTGACTTCTGGAATGCCCTAACGCATTTGTGCTCTTTACTCTGCACAGTGACTGTACTGTATAACTTTCTCACTCTCACAACATTAGAGCTATGGAATGGATCATTTCTGTAGGCAACTACTATCTCTTATAGAAGATCTACTGAACTTAACAACAGCTTACAAATTAGGGAAGGTAACATACTGTATAAGAGGAAGTCATTTGGCCATACATGCTATGCCAGTGTATATTTATAATTGATATATCAAAAGGTAACATTACACAAGCCATTTCCTTAAGATAATAGAGTTCTGTTATGGAATAGTGTAGTAAAATGTATGTTAAACCTTATATTTTTTTAACTTTCTGTGTTACTACAGATTTTTAAAAAATGTACAGTGTATACATTATAGAATACACAGCACATATTCCCTCCATCCCTGCTTTCTATTGCATCCCAGCAATAGTTCAAACCAATTAGTCAGAACTGCCTAAAGGTCTATACTGGGCTGGACTGCTATACCTAATCCCTGGTACCAAGCTTCCATACTAATTCAAACATGATGGTGATGTACTGTGTTAGGGATTCAGATAAGTGAAATATAACGATAGAAATCCTGTAGCAGCAGTAGAGATATACAGCTCCAGGCCGTGACTCATGCCGATTTAATTGCCTGCTTTGAATCTTTAAACAGAGCTTTAGGATCTCGCATTAATAATATGAGTGTCAGTAGCAATTCCCAGAGAGAGCTGTAACCTATGACTCACATCTACCAATGATGAAAAATGTAGTGCCACAGAAAGAAAAAAAAAATCAAATAAAATTTGTAAAAATGATTTTTGCATCCTAAAAGAAACACCGCAATACACCACTGAAATTACCTGTCCTTTTAAATCAGCTTGAATATTTTTCTCACCCTGAGTTTCTTATACGTACACCTTAGTGTGTACGTATAAGAAGGAAGAAAGGTTGAGCGTGGATTAAGCAGCTTGATCAATTCTGCAGAAATTAAATGAAACCCAGGCTGATTTTAAATCCACACTGACCTACCAGTCAATCTCCGGCAAATGGAAAGACACTGTAATTTGCTAGATTTGTGATTGGGTAGTGGATCCGTTTTCTATAATCCAGGCCCTGGTATCTTAACAAACCTTTTGACTTGTGTCCTCTCTGACCACAAAATTGTAGGTCCTGTATAATTCCTGTAATAGAGGTAGTTTCAACTCAACATAACATGCCAGAGGGGTCTTTTAAAATTAATCTAGATGGACTGTATGAGATAAAAAAGGGCCAAATGGAGGATTTCCTAGAGAAATTAAATATGTGCAAGAACAAGTAAATGCAAAAGCAAGAAGAATGCACCAAGATAAAGGAAATACAGAGATTAAAAGGTAACAAGGGGCAAGGACAAATCCAGAAGGTCAGGGACAGGTGAGGTAAAATTATTATTGTCCAGATCATTAGCTTTCTTTAATAGTTGAGTAAAACTAGATGGGCCAAATAGCTTCTTTTTATTTGTTCTTATGATGGTGTACAGTACTTATGCAAAGGGCACCGGGCAGGATATGCCTTGGACAGGACATCAGCCCATCACAGAGCGGACAGAGACAAACACAAACAAGCACACACTCACATAAGAGCCAGTTTTCCCACAAAACAATTAACCTACAGGTATGTTTTTGGAATGTGTGAGGAAACCAGCACTCCCTTAGGAAACCTAAGTGAACATGGGGAGACCATGCAAACTCTACACATATTGAACCCCATGTCCAGAACTGGACCCAGGCCCCCACCATGGAGAGGCAACAGTGCTAACCACTGTACCACCATGTCATCCATTGCTTTATTACAGTTCAAATACTAATCTATTGAATGTCAGTCATTCACAACTTCTGTAGTGTCCTGTCCCTGGAAGTGGCCAGTCTGGGAGTCCTGGGCGCTGACGTCTTTCCTTCGGTTTTGCAGACTCATTTCCCCTCCCCCCACCACCTTTGCACCTATGCAAGGGGAAGGGTGTGTCAGCAACACCTATATAATCGTGTGAGCACATCTGACCCATGTTGCTCCAACTTGATGATGCTGTTTGTCTTTTTTTAACAGGCTGAAGGAAGCAGGCTACAGAGGGAAATGCGAGCTTACTTAACTGCTGTCAAAGGTGAGCAAATTGAAAAAAAAAATGGTTCATGGAAATGATTGAAAAGCTAAAGCCATTGTAGCTGGTGGGGAAACAGAGGACTTACAGTATTCCAAAAATTCAGAGCAGGAATGCATCTTGGGAACCTGTCAAGGTTATTTTCTTATTATCACATCAGCACTGCCAATTCTGAAGTGCTTATTAAATTTTAAACCGGCCCTATTTTTACCGCTTTAACTAAAGTATTATTTAACTTTTCAGTCTGAAGGACAAAAAGCGGAAGAACTTCAAGAGCTAATGCCTGATGCCATTTGGCAAGATTACAGAATAATAAGTTCTGTCACACTGGTCACATAAAGTTGCTGCATAGTTAATGGAATGCTTTTCACAAGCATTCTTGTTAAAGAACCACTATGAGATTTGTGTCCTCAGAATACAGAAATAGTGACCAGTAAAGGGCAGCCTCTCGGGATTTTTTAAAATTCATCAGAGTTAAAGGCAACTTAAAGCATGACTGGATGGTGGAGAAATATGAGACTCTTTCCCAAAAAAAGCTTCTGCTTTGAAGTCTATATCATACAGAGCTAAGGTTCGAATAAGCTTTGAAGACATGGGTTCATTGCATCTAGTTTGCAAGATAGCTACAATGATTTTAAACACCCAAAAATAGTTGAGTCCACAAAGATGTCTGAGCTGTCTTGGCTTCTTTTGTGTAACAGTATTTCTATTAATAATTTTATGTTACAGTATACAGTACCTACACAGTTTAGAATCAATATCTCACATCAACAACCCACATGGGTGAATAAGGAAGAATAGACAGGCTGTTTCAGAAAATATGTTTTACAAAGATTTACTAAAAACTAACAAAAGAGAAAACGTAATAAAATACAAATTTTATTAAAAGTTAACTACAACCGTTAGACTAAGAACAAACTTCATTAAGGTAAGGCTGTATTATACTGTATGTACTGTACATTGCAACCTACTGTATATCAGAAAGCTGTTTGGACTATAAAGCAAGCCAGCAGCAGCAGATCGCACTGTCTTAGTGTTCACTAAAAAGACCAAGTGTTAGAATTTTAAGTGCTGTAAATACAAATTTTGAAATCAAGTTCACAATATGCTTACCAATAATGCTTTCATGCCAACCTAGTAATAACATTCTTCCATCTGTTATTCAATAGTATTTTAGCAGCTGCATTCTGCAGTAACTGCAAGCCAAATAATGCTTTATTATATTTTAATTACAAATAAAGCATAACTAGTCTTATTAGTCTAATCTGGTATAAAGGCATACATTTGTTTTGTCAAAATGATGAAATAAATTGAATGATCAAATTGTAGCAGTAATATGCAGATGGACTGTGAAATAACATGTTTAATACAGTATATGATTCAAAGCACATTTTAGAATAAAAGATTACTTCCAGTTTCCTCTCCTCAGATCCTCAGGTTTAACAATTGAGGCAAAAAACAAATAACATGTCTATTTTTGTCAGTTTCTCTGTTACCATGACATTTACCTTATCTTGATTTAATCGTAAAAAGAAACAAAACTTTGAGTCTTCAAACTTAAAATGCCTTTCTCCAAATACTCTCCAAACCTGCTCACAATATTATTCAAAAGACTAGCATGTTCTCCGAGATAGATGCCTAAAATTCATCATTATTCACTATTTTTTTAATGCTACCTGTGTAACATGGAGACTATTCTGGTCAGCATTTTAACCTGCCCCTAAAATCAGAAGTGTAGTTGCTCCTCCTGTTTTCAGTGGCTTGACCTGATGACCAGCAGGGTGTAGTTCAATAAGCTACCAGACTGATGTGTCTTCCAGTTGCCGAGTTGCCATTTAATTTTCCCCTTTCAGTGCTCTGCATGGAAGTGTATTTACCTTTGTGGCTATTGTGTCTAGAATGGCACTGTGATGCAGTGGTTAGCATGGCTGCCTTGCAGAACTGGTGCCCTGGGTTCAATTCCAGACCTTGGGTGCTATCTGTGTGGAGATTGCATGTTCTCCCTGTGTTCATGTTGGGTTTCCTCTCACAGTCCAAAAAAATACTGGTCTGTTGACTGGCTTTTGGGAAAATTGGCCCTTGCTGTGGGTGTGTGTACCCTGAGATTGGTGTCCTGTCCAGGGTGTACTTGGACTCTGGCTCCCCTGTGACTCTGAAATGTGAATGTGGTCAGATGGATAATACTCATTTTGAGTAATCCAGTAACCAGTGTATTATCTGACTTCTGCATGCTGGTAAAGGGCCTTACTAAACTTTTCATCCTCTACCAATGATATGCCATTTTTTTAAATTACATTATTTGTAATTTATCATCCTTGGACATCCTTTACAAAACAGTATATGTGAATTGTAGCATACCATATCAGCAACTGTTTCTACTGTGGGTGATTGCTTCTCTGTTGAGTACAATATAAACCTTCCCATGATGGTGCTGGAGTCTCCCATGTGAAAAATGTAATTTCTGAATAACATTGATAACAGAGGAACCTACTCAAATGGCCTACTTTCATGGTTGGGAAAGAGCAACCTTAAAGCATGTTAACTGCTCATCTAAAGACATGAAACATTATTATTACATTATATTTAAACATGAATCTAGTTAGCAGGTATTAATAGTGCAAAATGCATTTTATAATATAAAGTTGTACTGAGGCAAAGTGATAGAGCAGTCCGATGAAGCGGAAATGTTTAATACCGTCTCACATAAAACAAAAAAAACAAGGTTGAAACTGAATGCAAGGCTTTAAACTGTAGTCAGCTGTAACTGAACAAAAGCATTACGATACAAGACAAAGATAACAATTCAACAATTAATCATACAACCTGATAGAAGAGTCTAAACAGGTGGGTCTTGAGAGGTAGAGGCGGTAGAGGTTCAAAGATGTGTTCCTCTGTTTTCTGACTTACAGGGATGCAGGAGGCCTCAATGAAGTTAACGGAGTCCCTTCATGAGGTGTATGAGCCAGAATGGTATGGGAAGGATGATGTTATGACCATTGGGAAGGTAAGGATAATGTCTGAGAAGGGAGTCTTCTTTTGAAGACTCTGCTACAGAGAAGATGATTTACAGCATAGAATACGATATTTATCAACTGGAAATGAAGAACAGTTAAATATACTCTGCGCTAATACTGTAAGTGAAGCTGTTTGTGTTTGCCTCCATGCTAATTTTCAAACCCATTTTTGATGTTTTGTGGATAAACAGAACATCACTATTGGACCTTTTTATTAATTGTTTGCATTTGAACTCAGTTTTAAGGCTGTTCTGTAAATCTAAACTGTTTGTGTTCAATTTCTGGAAAAGTAGAAATTAGGATGCATTTTTAAAAAATAAAACAATCTAAAAAATGTATTTGGTATCAACAACAATTTTCATCACATGTTATTAGTAAGTTGCAAAGATTCCTTGAAGAAAAATATGCTTTTTATTAATGAGAGCTACAGTACATGGTTCATATCCAAAGTTGTTCACACATGTTGCCACTCTCAGGGTATGTACAGTGTATGTGCTGAGACCGTATGTTGTCTATCATATAGTATGTGTCAGAAAATAATGTGACAGTTGCTTCTTAATGGAATTATCTGAGTAAAAGATGTTCATGGGACAGTAAGAGGTCAAGCACAACAACTCACTCAACTAATTTCATTGCCTGTCCTAGCTCTTCATGGAAACTATTACAAGGTCGTCTCTTTGCAACCTCTGATTGATATTAATCAATTTCAGGAGTCCAAAACACATCATAAATAAGGAGAATTGTAAATCTAGGCCAGCACTTGTAGTATTATGTTTAGAAAAGACAGAAGTTGACTGTTGTGGCTTCTCTTCATGTATCCCACAAGTGAAAAATAATCAAGCATTTTTTAACATAGTGTAACCATGAGGTTACTTACAGCATACTGTACCTACATTGTAACACAAATTTACAAAAAGTAAAGTATTTTGGATTAATAAGTTTTAAGGAGGAAGAAATTGAGGAAGAAATGGAGTGTGAAATTCAGATAATATTACAACACCTTGAAATTAATTCATCCTAGAATGAGAGTGAGGAATAGTCTTGACCTATGAGCAGTTCTCACTCAAATACACCCAAAATCACTGAGTGTGATTTAGAGTGATTTTAATTTCTGAACTGCCAAATGATTGAAAACACCATTTTCACAAAGCTTAGCCTGCTTCAAGCAGAGTGCACAGTATAGAAGACATGTAGTGATGTTAACAGTTTTCTCTAAGAGACCATTTACACTGCAATGCAGAACTCCTCCATAAATCTGCAGGAGGGGAGGAAGGGCCTTATTCCAACCCTGCATTAGACTCTTTATGCTTATACTCTCCCAAAATAACATCACATTAACACCAGTCTTGGACTTATAGTAGTGTAAATGTAATGCTAATCAGAGACCGGGAAAACTGCTACTTCAGTTTTCTTTGGCTACAGTTTTCTGCTGTTAGCCTATAGTATGTTATTCTCGCAGCCTGAAATGTGATATAGAGAAAATGACCTACATTACAGTACATTAAATGATTAAACTACATTAAATGACCTATATCATTTTTATTCCATCGTCAGGGAACATTTATTTCAAAGAAATATACTGTTTTTCTATTCTCATTGCACAGTGCCTGGAGCTGTGTTGTTTTATTCAAGTTGGTATTGATCGTCTCAGTCATGCTTCAAAATGTTGGTCTCCAGATACCTCCACATTTTGATGTGTTTTCATTTAGAAAAGTCATTTTAATAAGTTTTTGTTTTGTGAATATGTAGTGTAATGCAGCATTGTCAAAGTGGCATAAGAGATATTTCAGGAGCTGAGTTGACAAAAATGTTTACCCTGTATTTTCTTGTTTTCACTGTGTCTAGTTGTTTTTGAATGTAGATATATTTAAACATACAGTATATACTGTACAGTAGTTTCAGGCAATTGATCTGTACATGGAATCCTGGTATATATCCCTTCTATTAAGGGCAGGTTAATAGACTGAAGTGCATACAGAATGTGCTGTTACTGTGAGGACATACTGTACAATAAACTATTTGTGACGGAGAAGTAACATTTTCTTATTGGAATTGAAATCTGTCTCCTGTGGATTGCAGAATGAAGTTAGTCTAGGGAGGTTATTTTTCTCTGTGGAGTCTAAAGTGGGCCTCTGTTTTCAGAAGAATGCATCAATAAAATACAGTTATTATCTTTATTGTCAAGAGACTAGAGAAACACTTAAATTGTCTATTGCTGTATAGTGCTAGCTATAATACATTCTTTGTCAGTATATCTGCATTTACCCCGTAGAATTCTGTCTCAGAGCTCAATGAGAGATCCATTTTATTTGCCTTGCAGACTGGTAGTTTGCAATCACAGTAATATATTGTATTGTAAACAAGTGTTGTCCATTTGAGCATCTTTGTCACTGATAATAATGTATGACTTGCAAGTGATTGGCAAGGCCCTAGCAATAAAACAGACTGATAGAATGGACTTTAGGCTCTTATTTAAAGCACAGTGCACCCAGCATTCCCATTTTACAGGCAGCTGAGTGGCAATAACAGTCACGTCGAATGGCACAGCCAAACAGAAAAATTGAACATTCAAAATGAAAAAAATAATAAAAAATTAATAAAAAATGAATTAAAATATTTATAACAAATAACAGCAATACATCAAGTTCACAAGCAGTTTGACTCACTTCCCCTTGTCTGTCGACAAGATGGCGCTGCTCAGCTCCCCGTTCGGTGCCTGACTGTCTTGTCAAAAGTACTGAATTGTCTTTATGGGGGACACCACTACATCGTCTCCGGCAGTGCTCGTTACAAAAATTCACTTGTCCCCTTCGTCGTTAAAACATCAACATCAAGGTGTATCTTACTTTAGTTTACAAACAGACTACAAGAATGGCCTAGCCATGAGCATGACTTGAAACAAGAGGCTCAATGGACACTTGAGTATCGCTGTGCTGTTTCGGTTGCGCTTCACTGAAGAAATATGAGTTGACCCTTGTCAGTGTAGAGCTGAAGGATGTGTTTTCACACATTGCATGATTAGTCATGTTTCACAAGTAGTTTTACTTAGGATACAGTTGTATTTTGTCATTAATGACAAAAATGCAATTTTTCAAAATGGCACATAAAGTTGCACATTATCCAGGTCCTGCTAGCTATCTCACATGCCGTATTGAAAGGAAAAATAAAAGTGAATTAAAAACATATAAACCATTCAAAATATTTTTGCCATTATGGAGTCTGACAATGACATTGCTGTTATTGTCTTGTTCCTGTTATTGTCTTGTTCCTGTTATTGTCTTGTTCCTGATTTTTTATATCGTACATAGAAAGATATAAAAAATCTTTCTATGTACGTTTTCCTTATTATGTTGCGAAATTGTGGTCCACTAGTTCCACTGATTGGTAGCTGTTACTTACCGTATCCTTATTCTCACTTAAGCCAAAGTCCACAGACTTGCCAGGACAGAAAGTGATTCACCCTGTGGAATGAGTCCAAAAAAGATTTAATAGAGTTATGAAGCAAGTCTAAAAACTGAAAGTAAGTATACTTTCAAAAAATGAGCTGATTCAGAAAATGTCTGAATTTTCTAAAAAATATAAGCATTTACAGTGTCATTCTGTTTCACTTCAGTGATAAATGGATCTCTAGGTTGCCAGATTTCTAGCATCCTGGATTATGTGAAATCTTAATTTGAAATCTTGCATTAAGATGGGGAAATAAGTGGACCAGTCTTTGTGTTTTCTGTATTGTGTATGCTTGTAGCATAGCGCAACCTGATTGTGTTAGTATCCAGTGCCTTACTAGCCATCTTTTTTCATTCAGACGCTAGAATGTGCATTGTGCTTATGCTCTCTTTGGAAAGGGGACCCCTGACTGTTAACATACTTGTAGTAGTGTCCCCAATTTTCAAAAAAAGCTCCTTTTGCAGAAAATGCATGCTTGTGGGATTTTGAGTCTCACTGTCTTGCTTCTCAAGCAAAGAGTGGCCTTTGTTCACATCTTGATCCTGAATCTTCTGTCATAATTGTTCTGCCAATACATGGACTGCCTGACAGTCCAAATATACATCTTATACAGTAGTTGTTAACAAAACTGTCATCCAGTACATGTCTACCGAAGACTTCAAAATGTTTCAGAACTAGTCATTCTCAGTAATTTTCTACTTCCTGACAGCACTGAAAACTAAATTTGAAATTTAGTGTTGCTTGAGAAATGAATATTTTTTTAAAAACACAGTTTTGAGTCAGACAAAGTGCTTTCACAGTTACTTGTAGATCACTTGCACCACTCCCCATAAATATACACAAACCTCAAACTTGCATGAACATTTTGTTCAGGTTTGTATCAACCTTCCACACTTAGAACTCTTTAAAAAGAAACCCTTTGTATCTTAAAATATTATTGTGTCTTCTGTATTTTCTTTTGTGGCTGAACATCCATTGTAAAAAAACAACATGGCCACGAATCATAGCCCTTATTTGATTACTGTTTTCTTGAGAGTAGTTTGTCATTTTTATTTGTTTTGCAGAACTGTGATGCCCTCTGGGAAGATTTCCATCAAAGACTGGTGGATGGAGCACTTATCACCCTGGACACCTACCTTGGACAGTTCCCAGATATAAAAGTACAGCAATTTTCAGTGGTTTGGTTTAATTTCAGACATTTAGTAGATGTAGTAGCAGGTACTGTATTTGTTTTTGTATTTCTGTGTCATTTCTTAGAGAGACTGTCTGGAAGACAGCTGTGCTCTCATAAAATGGAGACAATATTTAATTATGGACATTCTGGCAAGTGTATTGGCCCTCTGCAATATTCCCTTGTTGATCATTGTCTGTTGTTGACACAGCACATGGTAAATAATTGTATTCTAAACCTGAGTGTGTCACTTAGTACTACATGCCCATTAGTTGTAGTTGAGTTACTTTTTTTCCTGAGACTCCATTGCTATGGAAACTACACTCAGGAAAAGATGTCTCTGTGCCGCATATAGGAGCCAGTTTGCTAAAATTGGGTGCACCTTTTTTTCTCAATAGACACGTATTGCAAAGAGGAGCCGGAAATTAATTGATTATGACAGCGCCAGGCATCACTTAGAGACCATGCAGAATTCCAAACGCAGAGATGAAGGTAAAATCACAAAGGTAAGTGTTTTTTACCAAAGGACAAAAAGACAACAGATGGTATCTTGAAATACTAGCATTCTCCTTCAAATGCGGGGAAAATTCAGTGTTTGCAAATTGGAATGCACCTCTCAAATTTCACTGTCCTTTTCACTGACGCTGCCTTTCTCTTTTCATGGCAGAGGTTTTTGCCTTTTAAATTCAGCCACTCTGTCATTTCAGGCAGAAGAAGAGTTCAACAAGGCACAGAAGGTATTTGAAGAGTTTAACAATGATTTACAAGAGGAGCTGCCATCTCTCTGGGACAGGTATGAATCTGTGTGGCAGTGACGGACATTCCACTGTTCTGGCTTCAGAGTCTGACATGCTCATGAAGCAAGGGCAGTACTTTGTAGGCCCAACTGCAGAGGTGTAGGAGGATAGCACGAATTCCGGACTGTTGACACAATAGTACAACTTAATGTACCGGACCCAGTGTTTGCTAACCAAATTTATTGTATTATTTAAAGCATTGGGAATCTAAAAATGACTCCCAGTATCCTTAAACCAGGACCTCTCTCTTTCGCCTGAAATCATTTATTAATTAATCAAAATGAAATGCCTAGACTACTCCATTTTCAGCTTCTCACTGAATTATACAAGGAATACTGCAGTGGCTTTTTACTGTGATAGCCATCTCCATTATTATATCACTGATCAGTAATACAGCACCATGCATGCATGTTCGTCATAGTAGTTACTGTAATTTGACCTTTGTCATGAATATGACAATAGAATGCGCACCTTTCGAGTAGTGATTTGTCTTTGGTATTTATTATAAGCAACAAAATAGACTTGTGTATGGCTCTTTGCTTGATAAAAACTTCCAGGAAAAAAGGGATATGATCATGGCAAGTAGTTTTAGGAAACTTACTGTGACCTCGTATTTATACGTAATAATAGCACAAGTTGTAACAGCTTGAATAAGAGCATTTTTTTTTAATTGCCATGGCAGCAGCCGAGAGACATTCTGCTGTTCGATCTAGGAAATAAAGAGCTATGGTCAGTGCCAAAAACATTTTTTATTGTTAAAAAGGTTTTGCCGATTTTACAAAATAGTAAATCTGACAGTGGGATATATGTGGTTCCAGGAACAGCCTTGAGTCCTGCTGCGATGACTGACTCATGACACGTACCATATAACCATCTCAGATAGTTTTTGTTAATGTGTATTAGTCTTTATTGATTTATAATTTATTAAAATGTGTATCTTGTGCCATAAGTGTATTCAAACTGTTCTTCATTGCATCACATGCTCTGTTGTGCTACTTCCTGTCTGTTACAAAACATTTAATGTTACATTAAAAATAGCATTTTTGGAATATATTTCTTGAACAAAAACTCTATATGAAGTTATTATTTAAAGGTACTTGTATCAGCGATCATTAAAAGACCATTGAGTTTAACACATTTTGAATTATGAATACCTTTAAGAAGCATTTACTTTAAGACACTTTTGAATCTTTTGAATCAAAATGTTTCTAACGTGGGTGTAGTCTGAAGAAAACACAATCTGGTGGTTGCAAACAGGGACCATTTGATGTTTTGTTCAGTTTGTCGCTGAGGGCTCGAGTCCAAACACATTGTGAAAAATAGTATATCCAGTACAAACAGCTTGCAAAAGAAGAAAGATTGGAAGAAATAATGTTCCAGTGAAGCTGTTTTTGTCAACCACAGTAAAGAAGTCTGTAAACAAATAAGGAGAAACTGTGTATTTTAAGGCTTAAAGCATAATTACATAACCATTGTTGCACACTTTCGCTCACACACTGCTTCAAGCACTTTTTTGTTTAATATCTCTTGGTGAACATGGTTCATAGTTATAGTGCAGTTATATATATTTTAAGCATCTTTACATAAAAGTATATCAGATTTTCTTAACATGCTGTGTAACAAATTGGAGGAAAGCAGATGTACAGTAATCATGTAAACCTTTCCGTTGTGTCTTCTCACAAGTGATGTATCGAAATCCTTATTACTATTCATAGGAATAATAGCATTCTTTCAATAATCTGTGCCCATTAATGTGTTTAGGAACTGATAGCAAGCTAAGTAATGCAGACATAATCTAAAAACAAAAGGTAACACCACTTTAAGACTATAAAAGAGCACTTGCATTTTACTGGAGACACTGTTGAGACTAAACTGTTCTGAACTATTTTTGTTTTTTTCCTCTTCTCTTCAGTCGAGTTGGTTTCTATGTGAACACTTTCAAAAATGTTACAAACCTGGAGTCAAAGTTCCACAGGGAAATCGCAGTGGTGAGTAAAGACTTAATAACTGCTTTAATTGATAGCAAATTTCAATGGTTATTTAGGTTCATTCCTTGGTTTTCTATTGTAGTTTTTCACTATTTCAGTCATATACTGTAGTTTTACCTGGATTAGAAAATACATTATTTGTGTATTATGAGAGTAAGCATCTTGATGTTTGGATGTTTGGCCTTGAACAGAAAATTGTGCAGAGCATCTGTTTTGAATGAAACATTTCTCTTTTTCCCTTTCTTTTATTTTATACAAAAACAACATATAACGCTCTTTCACATGAACACATAAACAAACCTAAGCATCTAAAAAAAACAACAAATAGTCACACTATATCCCAAAAAACTGTGCGGAGTCTGTTTCTAACTCAAGATCCCCCAGAGTTCTTAAGTTTGTTTCTTCAGATCTTTTTTTTGTTGGCTGCATTAGTCTAAATGTTGTCTGATGCTCTGTAAATACAGGATCTGGTATATTGAGTACTAGAATGTTAACACAAAATGTGTGAATCTCCTCCTCTATAATATTGTAGTTAAAAGCATTGACACCAGAATAGTACTCAGGTTTGCCTTTAAGAAGTATTTAATTTAATCATTCTGGTCATCATGTTAAAATAAGGATGTTGTTTCTCTAAAGCCAGTACAAAGAAGATAGACCAGATCCGGTCTCAAAAAACAGATTTTATGTACAAAGAGGTTAAAGGAACCAATCTTATTTGTCTTGACATTATAAGAAAAGTTTACTCAAACAGCAAATTCTGAAAAATTTCAGTGGAGTTATCCAATGGACCACAAACTCAGTAATTAAATGAGGTCCTAAGAGGGACATATTTAGGTTCGATAAGATACAAAAAAAAGTCAAGGTGAGCAAAATAGTTGCTTCTTTTTTCTCACCCTTCTGATGTTTATGTTCTCATCTATTTCTATAAATAATGGACAATCGTTATGTGATACATAGTGATCAACATAAAATGTATCTGGAGACAAGATAAACCATCATTTGGGCTAGATACTGTATATCAACCCTCAGATTTTTCATTTGTGAAGGAAAAACCTTCTGGGTTTGTAAGTGACTATGATTAATATTGTCCAGTTTGTGGATTTGATCATTTCTGCTAATTGCAAATCTTGCAAGCCCACTTTAGGAGTGTTCTTTGAATATCTTAGTCTATAAGACTGTTTTTAAAATTTTAATGACCAAAGTAAGAATAAGTTTAGCCTTAAAATGCAAATTCATTTGCCTGTTGAATACCCCCTCAGTATTTTGCTTAAAAGAGTGACCATGCCACACATTTGCCTTCTCTTTTGTTAGTGCTTAACTGCTGAAAACTCAGCAGGAATGTGTGCTTGGAAGGGTCTGAGATTTTTCGTATACAGTATGTAAGCTGCCTCACTCTGAGAAGTGCTGTGACACATTTCGGGGGGCATTAGCAAAATGTGTTTTTTTCACATCCCTCCAGTCAGCAGTATTTCACAGCAAATGAACACACAGATGCTGCTGGGATGTTTCTCTACTCTAGAATAAAACATGTTTTTTTTTTTAGAATGTGTTAAAGCCTCCTACTCGCACTTACAATACACTGAAACTACCCAGTATGGCTTTCAGATCTTTCACTTATGATGAATATGGAACAGTGCCTGTAGGAAAGGGAACAGTAGAGTAGCATGGTTATCACAAAGAACTCAATGCTTTTAGAGTATTCAGTGTAGGAGTGTATCACAGAAATACGTGTAAAAAAATAGATGTCACTGTGTGAGCTGGTTGGTGGATTACATATACTGTAGGTAAGCGTGTAAGAAGCAGGCCGTAAATAGATTGTAGGCCCATAATTAATAGATTTACATCTCTTGAAAAATTATAAAGAAGTGCAATAACAAATGCTGATTAAATTTCATCATCATGAAAAGTAGCAGAGGCTCCTGTATGGCTCAGCAAGTAAAGGTTCCTGGTCAGGCGTAGATTGAGCTCTATTATCCAGGCATTATGGGTTTGAACTGGGTCATGTCAATACCCAGCTGAGAACTCTTACAGTATGTGGAGGCTGGGATAAGTTACTAGGGCTCTCTCGACTCCCAGGGCCACAACAACCTTTTCAGGTCCCTGGGCACTTGCAGGCACGTGATGCTGAGGGATACGTCTCTCTTGCATCTGGCACTGAACCTCTGTATTGCCTGAAACATGTTAAAAGACGAGTGGCTTGATGGTGGGTGGAATGAAGGAATCTGCCTACACTTCTTCTTTCTCCCCTGTGTGGGGTTGTACGGTTGATAACCATGAGCCAAATCATGTAAAATACACAACTGCTCATTCCAAATTGGGTGGGTAAATAAAAAAAAAGATAACTGGTGATACTAGATTAAGAAAAATCATTGGATACACTCATCAAAATGGCCTCTAGTGCATGTCTGACATTTGGCAGTTCTGCATCTTGAAGCTCTGAAATCTTGAAATTCACCAGTCAGCTTCCCACTTCTCTGCAGTGGAAAAGCACAAATTAGATCTCCTTGGAAACCAGAATAGCATTATGCCAATGAATTCACATTTCCCCAGTGGAGAAAAAAAAGGCCAAAGAGCATGAGACCTTGCGCCATGGAGGTTGTGGAATGGGATATGTTGTAACGGGAGCCGGTCCTGACTCCCGTGTAGCGCATATTAAGGACCTTATGCAGACCGTATAATCCAGAAGTGACTGGAGAAGGTCTACAGGGAAAAGACGATGAGGAATAGAACGGATAGTGAAAAGGGGGCAATGCCGACAGTTATCAGGTGCAAGTGGGGAGCGCAGGCAAACAAGTCCAAAACTGTCCACGGGGTAAATCTGGGCGCAGTCCAAAATCCAAAACCGGGTGATCCATCCAAGACGAGACAAGGTTAAAATCGGGAACGGGATCTGGAACAGGGGGTTAAAAACAGAATGACGAGGCCAGGCGCTCCGGGCCCTGGGTCAGGACGCCGATCAGAAGCCTAAGCCCTCAAGCCGCGGATGTACAGTATGGCGATTTTAATGCCAAGCGGGCCTTCAGGCATCCGTCTTCCAGAGCAGAGCCCTGAGCTTCCGGAGCACCGGGTTTAAATAATACAGCGAATCCCGGGACAGGTGTACGTGATAAAGTAACTAAAACACAAAAGGGTTGGAGCGCCCTCTAGAGGAGGGATGACAATTGTGACATGTGGTCTGTCTATCCATTAGTCTGTCAATGCATTGCTTAATCAAGATTGACTTTGAAGACATGCCACACCTTGGCAAGATGTCATTTATAGCACATTTGTTTTTCATTGTCCCCTTTTCTCTTCAATATAATAACACATTCCTTAAGGCGGAGAGGTAAAAAATTGCTTTACCAATTCAATAAAAGGAGGTACTGTAGGAACCAAACTTTAACTATGATCCTGTGACTAATACCCTGCTCTTTAAAAAAAGACCCATGGCAACTTTAATGATTACACTAGGACCATGGTTTAACATTTCATTCAAATAAAACACCCCCTAAAGGATACTGTAGTGATATTTTGAAAACTCGGGTTCAGAAGAGTGCTGCCTACTCTTGTACCAACATCAGGCTACAGCAATCTGATTTTACTTGTAGGTCTATGGTGCTGACCAGGCCCGGCTTTGCTTAACTGTAACGAAAGCGTTCTTTCAGGACTATATCCAGACGACACAATCTGGGGAAGAGTGAGGAAAACACGGGGAAAAAAGCATGCAGGAGTCGAGAATGAAAACAGGGGGCATGTCCATGGTACACAGGTGTTCTGGGGGGTGAATCCAAGGCAACCAGTCCAAAAGGGAGTCCAAAGGGAAATCCAAGACGAGGCAAATGTCCAAAGCCAGGCGGTCCATCCGAGACGAGGACAAACGAGATTAAAAACCAGGACAGGATCCAGTGGAGGGTCGGGGGGGAAAAGAGGGGAATGGGACCAGGCGCTACAGGTCCCGGACTCACCTGGTACAGGAACCAATGCAGAGCTCAGAACAGAGTGAGCATCTGGCTTTTAAGGTGGGCTGGACAGGAGGCTGGAAAAGGGGGCAGGTACACAAAAGCAAGTCAGAAGTGAAAGAGCCGGAGCGGCCTTAAGGGGGAGGGACTACAATCGTGACATTAACATCTGAGATCTGATAATAACAAGCTACAGTACTGTACTTGGTGGTAACACTGCTCTTTCTTCTTTGGTTTATCAAATATAGATTCAGATTCATATTATTTTTAATGTCCTATTAGAAAAATGTAGTCTTCATCCTTCTTGCACCTGAACTACACTCTGGTGGACAAATAGAACAATATAGAGAGTTGCCATATCTATGTCTCTGGTACATTGCTTTCAAACAGTAATCAGACCCTTTACAAAAAAATCCAATACTGCTGGATTACAAATGATACTTCATCTATTTGACATCTATTTCCAGTCAGTATTTTTATTGCCAATTGCCAAAGAACAGAACATTTTTAAAGACAAAATCAGTTGCCAGCAAATAGCTTAAAGAAAGTCTAAAACTGAAATATGCTGCTTGCTTAAGTATTCAGAAAACATATTAATATTTAGTAGAGCCACCTTTTGCTGTAATAACAGATTTCAGTCTTTGGGGTACAGTACGTGTCTACCAGCTTTGCACACTGGTTAGGAGTGATGTTTGCCCATTCCTCTTGGTAGATTTGCTCCAGCTCATTCAAGTTCCTTGGACAGCGCTTGTGGATCCCAACTTTCAAATTGTGCCACTGATTCCTGATGGCTTTGAGGTCAGGAGTGTGACTGGGCCACTCAAGGACATTCACCTTTTTATTCTTGAGCCATTCCAGTGTTGCTTTGGCTCTGTGCTTGGGATCATTGTCCTGCTGAAAGGTGAATATTCTCCAAAACATCAGTTTTTTAGCAGAGTGCAACAATTTCCCTGTACTTTGCTCTATCCATTTTACCTTCAATCCAAACAAGATTCCCAGTCGCTGAAGCATCCCCACAACATGATGCTGCCTACACCATACTTCACAGTAGGGACGTTGTTT